GGGGGGGGGGAGAAGGGCGCTTGAAAATCGTAAGGTGAAAGAATAGAGAGAGAGAGAGAGAGAGATCGCGGTGATAAAATGGACCTTCATTAAAAAGCGTCCGGGGGAAATAGTAGAAAAAGAGAGTAACAACGGGTCAGACTCAAGTCTCGTGCTGCTTACATTGCTCTTTAGTGCTTTTTAAGACTGCTGCTCCGGCCGAATGGATTGAGCAAAGGGGATATTTGAGCGGCGCTTTATAAAGGAGTGAGTACATTTTATAAAATTCCGCCGGTAACGCACTTCTCTCTCTCNNNCCCCCCCCCCCCCTCCATTTCTCTCTTAACGATCCTCGTTTTTCTCAAATATATTTTCTCTCGGTATCTGTGCGAGCGACCCTCGCGACTGAATTAAATGAGAACCGAGTCAAAGCCTGAGCTAAGCTGCACACACACACATACACACTGATTGCGTTGAGCTCGTGTAAGTGTGTCATATATTTATTCCGTACATGACGTATTTAAATTAATGCGGGGCTCGCACGTGTCACATGTGCAATATGTATTCGTATGCAGTGTCGCAGGATGCCTCCCTCCCACCTTCGATCTTTTTATTTAACTCCATTTGGCCGGGCGCCAATATTTCGGTCACCGCAGCCGATATTATATTCCTTTTGAGTAGAGTAATGTCGTCATAGCCGGCCGTATGCCACCGCGAGATATCCGCTGAGGAACCATTATGACTTACTGTTCTCATGTTAAGTTGTCCGACAGCTTTTTTCGGACCCCCTTCTTTATTCACTCGACTCCCCCTCTCCCCCTCCCTCTTTCTCACTCGCTCGCTCACTCGCTCCTTCTTCTCTGTCTCCCTCGCGCCGTTGTCGAATATAAATCTTGTCCGATCGATTCGGCCGCGCGCGCACGACCTTTTGTTCTCATTTCGGGACAGGAACAGCGGTGTCCTCTAATTGCTATTTGTCTACGAGCCTCCGGTACCGCCCGACCGAATATTTCACCGTTAATGCATTTCGACAGCCGTATCGTCGTGATATCCCCGCGCGTCATCCATTAAGTTACATATATGAGAGTCGAATTAATTAATGGTAATCATTGCATAATTCATCCATAAGTTGGCGCTAATAAACGACCGCGTTTGTTTCGCGCGAGTCGATGCGAACAACGTCGGGACAGACGCGGATGAAAAGTGTGTCGGATCGTCGCGTGCTCGAATCGCGAACTTTACGGTGCGTTTCAGCCACTCTTCAGCGAGGAAGATGCTCTTTCTCTCTCTCTCTCTCTCTCTTTTCCTTTCTATCTTACTCTATCTCGCTCGCGTCATTTAATTAAGGTAGACTCGTTTCGGAAAAACAACTCGTCGCCGTCGTCGTCGTTGTCGAGTCGATCTTCTCCGAATGTTTTTCCTCGATGTTCGCGGGAGTCGATGTGAAGTCGCGCTGCAAATCATTCGAGAAGCGGGAAGAAAAGGGGGACAAATTGGGTAAATTTTCTTCCGAATGAGTTACGAAGGTGTTATTTTTCTTTAATCCGACGGAAAACGCGCGTTAATAGCTGCGTCGGGAAATATCATAAAGTGATAACAGCGGGCACGCGATGTGTGCGGCGAGAAAATTGTGTTGGCTTTGCCCTTCGAGAAGTGCAACTCCAACGAGAACTCCATGCGCAAAGTCAAACAACGTTTCCCCTCTCATCCAGAATATAAGATCAACGGCGTTGTGTTTAAAGAAGTATCGCCCGTATCTCAAAATAATGGGAAAAATTACGAATTGATCTATATTGCGTTTAAAAGTAAAACACCAAAAGTGTGACGGTAATTCAGGACCTCGATCAAAAGTTATTCCATTTTAAAGGAAGTTATAAGGTGAAAAGAGTTTGATGAGAATTTCATGAAACTTGCACTGCGTATACATTGAAATATCACCTAACTATTCGTGCAATTAGCAAGAAAGCCATTCGAGAGCTGAGATATTTGTAACGAAAGTTGACACTTTTCATACGTGTTCCTCGAGTGTTCCTTACTGCGCTATATTTTAATTTTTATTTTTAACGTTTTCTAAACTAAAAGTAAGATTTCGATGAAAAACTACTGTGATATTAAAGATTAATATGCAGACATTGTACACATTATAATTTAATAAACCGCATATTAGTAAAATATCATTAATAAACCAATTTAGTTAAATAAATATTAACCAATTATGATGAAAAAAAATAAAAAAAACAATAATATTTGTATATTTGTAATATTGTGTGTACATATATGTCCACTTCAACTTCGTTTTAAATTAACATTTATTATTTAGATAATGAAATTAATGTATAAGATCGTAGTTTTGCTTGATAAATACTAGATTTACGAGGGGCCCTTTTGATGCGCTACTAAAAATACGGCATTGAGCTGTAGAACCTTCCTAAGTTGCGGTATATTGAGACGATTAGGTTGGAAATTCTTCTCGCGGACAAAATTTACGACGTGAATGGTAAGTTAATTTGTTTATCGGCCGAGCTATCACTGTCGCTTTTCCCGCGAAAGTTCCATTGTCCCTGATATTCCTTTTAAGACGAATAAGTAAGGTTTCTCGTGGAAGAGCTAAAACGACAATAAAAACAACAAGAACATCCTGTCCCACGATTGTAGGGAGCTTGAAAAATTCAAAGTTCCTTATCCGCCGCCGCACGGTTGGGATTTCAGGTCCCGGTCGCAGGATATCTTTATGGCGGTATACCTGGAAGTTATTTACCGGGACGAACGTGAATTATCGATGAAACTTTTTGCAACGATTTGTTTTACTCGTTCGCCCCCGCGCGCGAAAGCGAGCGAAGCTTATCCACCGCCACCGCCTCGCAGAAACAAAAAGCCCGTCCTGAAACTCGCCCGATCCATTTTCCATATAGTTTTTTTCAAGCGCCGCATCTAACCGCGCAATACTCGCCGAAAATATCGCCGATAATTTGATGAAGCGTGACTACCTTGCCCTCACGAAAACGCACCAGCTGTTGTTGCAACTACGCGACCTACGGTATTTAACGAAAATTCGAAAAAAACGAACAGAGTTAACGCGAAGCCTGTGTCTTTGTATCTAATTAAAATTCGCCCAAACTTCACGTTTTTTCCCAACGGGTCTTGCGTTTCGAGCTTAACTTCTCGAATCCCAGTTTTTTTTATATATATCGAAAATTTAGTTATTTTAATAGGATATCAGATAGGTGTAAATAATATTCCAAAAGTTCAATTTAAAATGTGTGGTTTCAACACAGGAGAAAAAGTGGTTTAGCTCCAAAAGTGTTTTATCAAGCGATGTGGGCCGGTCACAAGAGATGTTTATTTTTGGATATATTGTATGCCGCATCCTTAAGGATACACCCGGATTCAAAGGGTTAAAGAACGTGCCGCCCGCGCTGTAGGGGAGATCGCTCGCTCTGACAAAATAGCCGCCCCTTACGATGTTCCTTCCAGCTTTAATACGCCGTGTTACGTCGAACGCGAGTCGGCACGCGTATTCTTCTCACGGGGAGGACTCGGCCGATCTCGAGCGTCACGTGTGCGGCGCCGATCGTATATCCGCCTTTACGACGGAAGCATCCGCCATTGGGGAGAAATATTACACGACGTGTATAGAGCGGCTAAGCAGCCCCCGTACGGGGGTCGCGCGTTAAGCTCGGCTCTTTTCCTCCTCCTCTTCCCGTGGGCGTCTTGTAAATCGAAGAATCCCCGCATTAACGCCAACGTAATCGCACGTGGCTCGAGCCGATCGCGTGGCGCCAGTTTTTCCCGTGAGTTTCTCTCTCCCCGGGAGAGATCGATTTTCCCCGACACCGCGTTTTATCTCCATGAATCGCAGATACGTATCTCTCCTCCCTGCGCCGAGATTCCGGAATAATTTAAAGACGAAGTCACGAGTGCTCCGAATTTTTAACGGCTTCCTAACCTGGCCATATATAAGGCGAGACTTTTGACCTTCTTATTTCAACGACAAATTCTTTCTGAACGCTTCTCGCTCGGAGAAAGTTTCACGCGCTCGTATGCGCGGAGTATCGTTTATCGGGAGCTTCCCTCCGACATTAAACATCTCTCGGTGATTAAATCTCGAATTGAAATTCTGGGCGGAAGTAAGATCCAATACGAACAATACGATTTTTTTCTCCCCTTCCTTCGTTCGGTTCACGTCTGAGAAATTCAGTGAAAAGCCCTTCGTTTCCAATAAGGTGAGGGAACTATTGGTTTTCGATTGGGAAACTATTATAACTCCAAAAACCCTCGGTACCTCGGTTAGGACAAATTGACTGGGATAACTCGTTGTAAGGCGCGTGCTGAAGCTAAGAAAAAATATCTTGATTGGAACGTCGAGAAGTTGGCGTTCTCATTGCCGTAAAGTCTGATCCGGCCGGTAAGAGGAAAATATGCGATCTTCTCCCGAGATCTGATAATCTTAAATTCCATCTGAGCCTCTCCCTCGCGCGTATTATACTCGCCGTCAACGCAAAACGAGAACTTGGGGTGGTAGATGACGAGAATGAGGGTTCTTCCTCAGTCCTTCGGAGAATTTTACGGATCTCGAAAAGGGAGTCGCGAATATCAAGTCCCACCGTTTTACTGGAATCATATTAAAATTTACGGTATATACGCCCAAAAGTTCTCTCTCTCCTCCCCCCTTCCACCTTCTCTTCTTCTTTCTCGCTCAGCCATCTCGTTTCTCATTGCTGGTGGATCGACTTTGATTTCGTTCGATAAAAGAGCGGGAGATCGATGCTAAGACTTTTCCAGACGCTCTTCCGTATTTCATCGACTCGCGAGCCGCGTCGGACCGCCGCGCATTCCTGTTCTGCTCGCGGCGTTGGAAAAAAGCAGTAAGTTTTTCCATCGCAAACTTCCGATCGATCGACGAAGTCGGTCGAAGAGGCGCGACCCGCACGACGTTAATAGCTCCAAATCCGTTTTCTTTTCTCCCGAGGAGGATCCTCCGCCGTACTCGTCGATCCCCGTAGGTAGATTACCGTTGCAAATTGTCGTCATTAAATTAGTTGGGCGAGCTGAGAAAAACCGGGCCGATTTCTTCCGACGCGGAACCGCCCGCGCGCGAGATAAACGCGAGAGCCGGAATTCGTTTTCGTCAGCATTCGCGCGGGAGAGAAGCGAACGGAGAGAGAAATGAAGTGCGCGCGAAGAGAGAGACGGAATAGGTAATTGTGCGCCGCCGAAGTGCGATCGGGAAATCTTCGATAGGGGATGGGACGTTCGTGAAGCGGGCGGGAGTGTATTTGAATTCGCGAAAAGTGGGTAGAATTCAGTCTCGTTGTTGCACAGGCATTAATTGAACACAAAAGCTTTCTGTCAGCTATTTGTATACTACAGGCTTTTCCATCGAAAGGTTTTATTTTAAATTATTAAAAAAACCAAAATTTCTCATCACATTATGTCTGAGTATTTGTGTGTCGCAACTGCTGCTTTGGAGCATCCGAGTTGCCGACTCACCGAATAATCGACGGTTATAATTCACGAATATTTCAGAGCACGATGCGCCTGATTGAAAATTTTCTATGTGACTATGTTTAGGAGACAGGACTATATTAATGGAGAAATTGTCAATACATTGTCGAAGGGCTATGAGGAACCAAGCACGGATGTTTTAGTGCTATTAAATATTAATATTGTAATATTATTAATATGAATATGAGAGGATGAAATCGTTCATTGTATGTGCGAAACGCATCGAATTTTCGGCTGAACGAGACGTGACGGCAGCCTTCCACGTATAATGCGACTTACCTGTTGTTTGCCATCGTTTTATCACACATAAAATATATCGTTTTCGTGTCAGTTAACTTTACTTACCTTCTTCACGCGAAGCAAACTTGCGCTCGGTAAGACCTAGAGGGACTCTAAGCGCGAAAGAAACCCGCAAATTCTGCGCATCATCTCCCGGACTGTCTCCATTTTATCTTTTCGGGGATCTATGGCAAATTTGAGAAGAAGGAAACGTAAATCGCGAGACTCGTTGTTAGGAGACCGACGGGACGTCCTCTTTTATTTAACCTTGTGATTGCCGTACGATCGACGATAGCGACGTGAAGAATGGCTGCTCGAAGATCGCGGCCCATTTCCATTCGTCCTCGATCCCGCCGCGTACCGACAAGTACCTCTTCGCGCCTATTATCGACAGCCCAACGTTAACCACCCCGGGGAACTTTACTTACCCATTTGCTATCTTCGCGGATAGAACGGATCGGACTTGGGATGTAGCAATGGAGGAGGAGGAGAAGGAGGTAACGATCGAGAAGGCTCGTGCCCTCTTCCCCTTCCTTGTCCCTTTCCACCCCCTATAATACCGATAGGTCCCTCTTCCACCCTCGACTCAAACGGGTCGGCAGGGTTGTCGGGTCAGCCGGGCGTTAATTATTGACACCGGGCTTTCGGTACATCGAGGTTCCAGGCGATAGCCTGGACCGTCCATGTCCGCGGATGCCGCTCCAGAAACACGGATCCCCGGTAGATGTTGCGCATACGAAACACGACGTCGGTCAGGGAGGTAAGAGGGATCACAGCAGGGCGATCGGGGAGATCGTCAGGTGGGGGACAGGCGACGTGAGATAGGATGGGACTAAGACTTTCGAGGCTTGGGTCGCTGCCCAATGAGGGCGCCCCCCTCTCCTTTCCTTCTCGGTGATGCTTTAAGTGCGGATAATTCATCAAAGTCTCATTAGGCTAATGCCTCCGGCTCTTGTACCTTGAACGGCATTATCATCCCGAGAACAGTGGCGGTAGTCTAGTCGGAATTTAGCAGCCGCGAACTCTCCCGGTGACTTTCCTTGATTCCTTTTTTTTCCTTTGGCGCAGGAGAGCGCATGGTTAGCGAGATTTGTAGCGGCGCGTCGATGCTTGAGATTTGCGGGGAAAAGCGGCCATTAAATCCCCGTTAAGAGGACATATCTGCAAATCCGTTGCCGTTTCGAGAAGGACTCGTCCGGAATATTGGGATATTTCGTGAATTTATTTCTCGTCAACCCGGGAATAATAAGTCACTTTGGGGTTAATTATTCCTCACGAACCTTTAAATATCTTATTCCGTCGAAAAAAAGGCAATGAAACAGCGTTTTTTAAATTGATATCTTCATTTATTAAAAATACTGTGATAATAAGACACTCGATGTGCTTATTCTGATTCTTAAATATTTCTTTGTTTTCTCCTTATTTTTGTCAAAAATGACGAGTAAGTCTATATTTACAATGTCCCTAAATAATAAATCATAGAGCAATCGATAATATGCTATATTTTGTTAATAATAGCGATTTTTAATTGGGGTCTAAATGACCCCGGGTGATCGTTTACGTAAAACAAAATAAGAGGTAACTATTTCCTTAAGAAAAAAAAAAAGATACACACGATCGAATATATTGTTCGTGGTGGGATCACGAGTCCGTCCTCCGTGTTTCAGTTGTTGGCGGAGCAGAAGAAGTTCGACGAGGAGCTGCGACGGCAGCTGAAATTGCAGTCGGAGATACACGCCGATCATCTTCAAGAAGCACTTTCGGTCAAAGAGCAGGAAACGCAGAGGAAGCTGCATCGCTCGCTCAGCGAGCAAGCCGAGGCCGAGTCCATAAAGCACAAGACGCAACTCGCTGCGGTAGTGGGAAAGTTACACGCTCTCTCAGCGGCACTTAAAGGTAAGTGTCCATCGTCTCTTTATACTCTGTTACCACGGGAGGAGGAGGTTCCTTTTGCAAAGATAAAATGTCATCTTGCGTCTTGCGCTTGATTTATATTTTACGAGGGGAATTCGATGATGCCGCCAGTTGGCGCGACCGAACGACGGGATCGCGGGACGATTATGCAACTTGTTAGCGGGAAAGAAACTCAGTTACTGCAACTGAACGGGGATGAAAACTCGGCGACGAGAAGTGATGCCTCTGTTATCGCGACTGAGAACGTTCATGTGAACATTCGGTGTGTGTAAAACTCGGTTGAGATAACCGAAAGCAATTGACTGCGCGGAAACCTCCTACAGGGGATTTTTCCGTTCTTACAACACCGAATTTTCGTCGTCCTCAGACGACGGAAAAATCAGTTGCAATGGCATTGTTTTGTCCATGTTACCGATTCCCGTATAGAATATTTCCTGGAATCTAATTGGGATCCAGTTCGATTTCTCGAAATAATTATGGATTCTACACGGAGAAAAATATTTTGCTGGCATAGTAAGAAAATTTGTTTTGGACAGCGAAAAGATTCGATCAGTCTCAGATTCGACACCCGATGCTGGGCTGGAAGGCGAAGTTATGCGAAATAACGTCACGTCGCATTTCCACCCGTTTCACGGTAACAAGTTTACAAATATAACCCGGATTGTTAATCTCTCAATCTGATATTCGATCGAACTGTCATTCGATTTTGGAGATGACAGTCGCGCGAAGCAAGCTGCAGCGCACAGCCAATCAACGTCACAGAAAAAAGACCTTATCCTATGTTTGGGATAAAAATGGGATCCCTAATTGGTATCGTAGCGGGATAAGCTATTTTGATACAACTTTATTTCAGTCAGAATCTATGTAGTATCTAGGGAAAATCATGAGAAATGCCGGTTGATCTAAGAACGATTTTGCTGCGATAATTTTGCGTTCGAATCGACGAATTCTCCCGAGAGATCCTCCCAAGTTCGCAAGGACAAGCGAATGTCCAACGCGTGACACCCAACATTGTGTCACGGACAAATCATCTTTCGCGGGGAGCGGAGGGGGGGAGGGAGTTGCTTTCGCCTTTGCTGCCTCTTCCATTGTACCGTGTCCTGGCGTTTAATTACACGGGCAAAAACACCGGCTGTTCTCTATAAAGACCGCGCGCGTTCGCGTCGAGAAAGTTTCGGCGACACGTTTTGAGACGCTTGATCTCCTCCTTTGTTTGTCTTTTCTCGATCCCTTTGTCCTTCCGGCACTAATGGACCTCTCATGTCGCAATTCGGATCGTGTCGGTGCTCGGGTTTCGGGTGTCGCACGATCGGCATTGTTTGCCCACTCGCGCCCCCGTCTTTCGCCGTGCCGGACAGGTAACTTAGCCGCGGAAGTTTACACGGGCAAAAAGTCATGACCTCTCAATCACTCGTGACAGGAGGAGGATATTGTTCGATGTATTGCGCGCCCCGAGGATTCACACGACTCTTCAATTAAAGATACATCGGAGGGATTATTCGCGCTGCTAATTGGAACAATTTGCAAAATGGCCTAAGAAGTTTAAGGATATCGTTGAAAGGAGCGTTTTACTTCAGCGACCTTCTGTTCAAGCGCGTTGAATATTCGTCGGACAAAGTTCGTCCGGTCGACGAACATCGCGTCGCGTCATGGAACGTTGGTAGAAGGAGGATATGACCCGCCTCGAAGCTTCTTGCAAATCTACAATTAAAAGTACTTTGGAAGTTTCTACGGATTACTCACGCTGCTAATTGAAACCGATTGCAATATGGTCTAAGAAGGTTTAAGGATATCGCTGAAAGAAGCGTTTACGTTAGAGATGATCTATTAAACTCATCGAACATTCGTCGGACGAAGTTTGTTCGGTCGACGAACGTCGGGTCTCATCGTGGAACGATGATAGAAAGAGGATTTCATTCGATGTATCACTTGCCTCGAAGATTCCGGCAAATCTGCCGTTAAAAGTACCTCCGAAGTTCCTGCGGATTATTCGCGCTGCTAATTGGAACAATTTGCAAAAAGATCTAAGAGGTTTAAGGATATCGCTGAAAGAGGCGCCTGCTTTAGCGGCCTTCTGTCGAACGCGTTGAATATTCGTCGGACGAACATCGTGCCGCGTCTGGAATAATAGAAGGAGGACGACGTATTCGCAATAGGAAGAAGGATATTATCTAATGTATTCTTGTAGAAAGGAATTTTATCTGACATCGCGGATTTTCCAGGATTCTTGTAAATCTACAGTTAAAAATTTAAATTAAAATTACATCCGAAGTTCCTACGGATTATTCGCGTTGTTAATTGGAACAATTCGCAAGATAATCTAAGGACGATTTTCATTAAATTCCGATCAGGCTAATCGACGATCTGAAATTGCTGTCAGTCAAGTGTAATCGGCCAGCTCTATCTTGCTAACGCTAAATGACTAATTCTTTGATTATCGTTGAACGACGAGTTGTAAAACTAGAAACTGGTGTTGGAAATTTTTATTATTATACTGACAGAAAAATATAGTTATTTTTGGGAACAACAATATCACGTTTCTCATTTTAATCTCAAAAATGGTTGAGAAAACTTTTCTAGTAAATGTTACTATAATATGAGTGATAATAACCTTACATTGTTGCTATTATTTTGATAGTTAAAATACAAGAAAGGATATTGTTGTCTCCGAAAATTTCTATATATTTCTCTCAGCGTATCATTCATCGATTTTCCTTAATCGGAGTTTGGCGAAAGTCACCCGAAGAAGTTGAGAGATTCGCTGAAAGGAGAGTTTAGAATAAACTCGATTTTTTTTTATTTTTCCACCAAACACGTTGAACATTCGCCGAGCGGAGTTTGCCCGGAGTCGACGCGCGTCACGATGGCGGGTTGCGTTGCACACACACACACACACACACACACACACACACACACACACACACACACACACATGCAACGTATAGTCCTATTATCTTGCGGTAGCTTTGTAATCCAGACGCGGGACGCGGGGTGACATTCTGAGATGTGCACCTGTCCGAGATATCCCCCGAGCGTGTTTGCCCTTTCTGGTTTTATTGGTGGCAGAGGGACCGGCGAGTTTAATCCGGATTAACCCTGTTCGAGTTTAACACAACGACACGGCCACTTCCATGGGCCCCCTTATCGCCGCTTCCGCGCCGCGTGTGTCCGCCCGCTGAGATTAATTCTCGATTAACAAATCTCGTATACACGTGCGCTCACATTGCGCGCAACCTGCCGCCTGATAACTATCTTTAATTAGTTTCCGTTCGAGTAATTTTCCGGTCACTAAACGGATTACGCGACACGTATCGATATTTCACGCTCGCACCCTTGCCGAGTATATCTATCTCCGTCCCTCCCTCCTCCTCTCTTTCTTTCTCTCTTTCTCTCTCTCGTCCTCGCCTCCGGCGTTTACACATTATTGAAAATCGTTGTCCTGTACACTCGCGCGCTTTTTTGCCCGTATTCAATGACCGTTATTTTAAAGGGGCTCGCACGTTTATTATGCGAGATTTATTGATTGCTGCCGCGTTTAATCCCAGATATTCCTCTCTCTCTCTCTCTCTTTCTCTTTCGAAATTTTCTTCCTCTTACACGCGACGTATTAATCGCGCGTGTCAGAAGAAAAAGGGCTTTTAATCGCGAGGATTTCTCTCCGAAATAGCTTTTATTTCTCGAATAAAATGAACGCGAAATACACACGCGTTCGCTCGTGGAAGCTCAAAGTCTCGTTGAAATTCATTGCGGTCACCGATGAACGTTTTATTTCAACGCGCGGAAATGAACACAGAGAGAGAGAGAGAGAGAGAGAGAGAGAGAGAGAGAGAGAGGACAAGCCATCGAGAGAGACAGACGTAACGTTTTCATTCGGCCATTTCTCATCGAGTCCCTCGATTAAAACGTTTCTCCGCAATTCCCCGTCGTTGCCGTACGGCGCCGACGATTATTGTCCTAATTGCGATTTACCTCTCGAAGCGGCGCCACTGAATCCGGCCGTACGGAATGTTTCTGCCGACCGAGACGAGAGCGTACGCTCTCTCTCTCTCTCTCGTGCGCGCGCGCGCGCTGCGCGTCGAGGTCGCGCTCTCCGCTCGTTAATTAACTTCGCTCAACAAGCAGACGGAAGTGGTAGGCGGAGTAGGCGGTCGGAAGGCGGAGAAAGAAACGTAGAATTACGATGTGCTCGTGCCGGTGTATAATATCCATCATCCGGCAAGGAGTACCGCGTTTAATTTGGTAAATTACGGCCGTTTTACCGGTGCGAGATTCCAGTCGCGAGCGGAGGTCGCGAATGTATGGGGGGNGGGGGGGGGGGGGGAGAAAAAACTCTCAGTTTCTGCGACTGAACGAGGAACAGATGGCAGAAATTTGGTGACGAGAAATGATATCTCTCGGTTGCCGGCATTGCTAAGAACATTCGTGCGAACACATTCAGCTGCGTTAAAACTCGGTCGAGACGTCTGAGAGCAATTGACTGAGCAAGCATCTCCTAAGCAGGAATCTTCCCCACCACCCGAGTTCCCGTCTGATCCCCCCGGGCAACGGAACTCGAGTCGAAATTTTGATCTTATGTTAAACTTTCAATTATATCTCTCGAAGGAGAGGGAAGGAAAGAGAGAACGCGTTCTCTTCCTCCACCGATCGCTCCCGCTCCGGTATCTGTAGCGCCGCGGTGGCTGCGGAGGGCATGTATTTCATGAATAGAAATTAGCGATAAAAAGATGGCATGAAAAGAGATGAGGGACGGAGACGCTTAAGTGCGAACTCCCGAGATTTCAACGCGCGCATACCCGCTCGGATAACAATATCGGTATCGGAACTTGGCGACCCCCGTGAGAGGCTCGAGCAAGTTCGCGCGGCTTCATAAGAGCAGCGGTTTCCGATTACGGCTTTCGAAGTTCGAGTTTCATAACTCCGCGATCGTAAAAAGCGATCAGTTCCGCGTGCATCGGGACTTCGTTCCTCGGGATGGCTCCGAT